GTGTGGGGGGTGGGTGTTAGTCCTTTTTTTGGTGTTTGCCCTATAACAGCCCCAAACCAGGAGTTTCTAAGGAGCTGCTCTTGTTTTCAGCTCCAGTGCTCCCCTACCCCCACCCCCACCCCCAAGTCCTCTCCAAGGCTTGGAGCCTGGCTTTGCTCCCCAGGGAGGGGCAGGTTTACCCCTTGGCTGGCTCAGGGTCCAGGTAGGAGTTGCTCAGTAACTAGGGGAGTGGCTGGAGGCCAGAGCCCGGCTCTCCGGCGGAGATGTCCTGCGCCCCTCAGCCTCCGTGGTGGCTCCCTCTGGCTCCTGCACTGTGAGCACCCAACACTGGAGGGGCACAACTTCAGGGTTGTTTGGGCATGCCCAGGGGTGGAGAACAAATGGGTAGAAAACAGAAAAGCAGGCCAGTTCACAGTGGAAGGGCTCAGAGGCCCAGGCATAGTGGAGAATCCTGCTGGTGCCCTGATGCCAGGCGAGCTTGGGGAGCAAGTTGGGGGTGTGGGGAGGAGCGTGACAGGGGCTTGGCAGGCCTCTGCTGCTGCTGCTTCTCTGATAGTGGGCTGCGCACACGCTCGCCAGTGACTGGCAGGTGACAGGGCTCAGGTAAAGTGCTCTCCTGTCAGTAGCTCGCAGAGGCTCTTGAGGTAAAGGATGTTCAAGGCTCAGTTAAGGAGTGTATCTAGGGTCCTGCTTTTTACAGTGAACTCTCAACAGTTCCAAAGTGGTGTCCTTGACTGTACTGTACGTTAAAATCGCATTTGCCCCCGATTCCGGGGGGCCTGGCCTGGCTGCAGACCAACGGAAAGAGCTTTCATTTCCGCCCCTCCAGGCTACAAAGTAAAGCTTAAGACAGTGGTGGCTTCTCCCTCCTGCTTCCCTGCTGTTCTTTGAACAATATTCTCAGTAAAGTAACAGTATCGGGCTGCTTCACGGAGTCTATCCACTGTGTACCTGTCGCTGTGTGGCCAGGCCCCGGGCTCTACAGTCAGAACCAGTGGTCTTTGCAAGAGGAGGCTATTGCGTTGCTCTGTGAGGGGTATTTCCAACAACAGCTTGTGCAGCACCAAGAGCCATCATGCTGGTGCGCTTTTCCACCCCAACTTGAGTGGCTCTTGTTCAGTTTTAGTCACATTGGGGAGGGGGGCACACATGTCTACTCACAGTCACCTATGAAGCAGGTCTCTTCTAAGGGGCTTACTTGTGAGACATGCAAGGGGCAAGAAGGCACTCTGGGGGCCCTGGAGTCTGCATGTGACAGCGGTGTTGCCAGGGACAGCTCTCAGTGACCTCGCAGGCCACACCCTCTCAGGCTGGTGTCTGACTGTGCACAGCGGCGGGTGCCTGGCCCCAGGAGCTGCTCAGGCTGATCCCACTCGGGGTGTGGTGGAAGGGGTGAGGGAGGGGTGTTCCGAATGCCGCTAGTCTCCCCGCGGGCTCCAGAGGTAGCGCTTCATGTGCAGTTCTGTGGGCCACAAGGCCTGCGGCTGGAAGTCAGTCTGTTAGGTAAGTAAGGGCTAGACTGCTTCTCTAAGATTCCAGGGAAGCTGTGGGGGGCGGTGGGAGCAGGGTAAAACTGAGAAGCTGACTTTTCAGGAAGATTTCCTCATGGTACCCAGGGAGAGGGTGTGCCAGAGGGCCCTGACCCCACTTTTGAACTGACTTTTGTGGTTATTGCTGACAGCACCATGATGTCCTGACTTCATGTCTTTAGTGACAATTTTATCACTGTTGATAAATAATCCCACGTTTTACTTTTCAAATATGTCCTTAAATGGATGTGCAGAAGAAGGTACTTACTTACAAGTATTTTTCTGGTTTATTTCACCAGAAGTTGAAGAACAGGAAGTCCCTCAGCACAGAGACAGGGGTCAAAGGAAAGCAGGGGTTGCTGCCCTGGTGGCGGCGGCGGTGGTGGTGGGGAACAAGAGCTCCCACCTCAGCCCCACCTGCTCCTTTAGGGACAGGTGTGATCTGGAAGCTTAGTTAGTAAGGGAGTGTGAGTGCCTGTGTGTGGGTGGAGGCTGCCACTCACTAGATATTTAACCAGGGAATGCCCTGTAGGCAGTAACCAGACCAGCCTGAGGTTCCGGGGGTCTCCAGCTGGCATCTGAAGTGCCCTGGGCTCCCCAAAAGGCAGGAAAGTCTGAGCAGAGACTGGATTTACCTCATTCTCTCTGCTGTTCTTGAAGTAGACCTGGTAATCTCACAAGTAATTGCCTGCTTTCTGCTATGGAACATACAAAAACTTAAAATTTTCTATAACATACCAGAATTTTGATCAGATTTCCTAAATTATTAACTCCAGTAGTTATAGTTGAACATTGTGTTTCTTTATCTGAAAAGGCTGCTCTTCAAAATGTTGATAAAAATTGAAAATATAGAGAACTTCTTTATATTTCTCCCTTTTAAAGTAAAACAGGGCCCTCCTTGGTGGTGCAAGGGGTCAAGTCTCAGCACTGTGAAGCTGTCTGCAGCCACTGCACCCCAGCCAGGGAGTGGCCACAGGGCACAGCAGCCCTCTCCTGTCTCCCCGCTGCTCCCTCAAGCAGTGTGTTTCAGTAGATCTGCCTCTTCTGCTCTTCACTCTGCCCCCTCGGGAGTCCTCTCACCCCCTACACCTCTGGCTTATATTCTAGCTAAATTTTAAAAGAAAATAATAAGACTAATGCATGTGTGCCAGGTATAGTTCTAGCAGTTTACATCTGCTTACCAGTACCAGTCTCATAATCGCCCTTAAAGAGGTAGATGTTTTGATACACATTTCTAAAGGTGATAAAATTGAGATCCAAAAAGGATATAAGACCCTTGCCTGAGGTCACACACGGGGTGAGTAGTGGGGGCCCCTGAGCCCGCAGTCTTCTAGTGCTTTTCTTAAAATCCAGTGTACTGTAATTTATGAGAAAGTGTTCATTTTGCCACAAGCTCTCCTTTAAAAAGAATTGTGATTTCCGACCCTCCCTGGTGGCGCAGCGGGTTAAAGTACTGCACTGAGAAGCTAAGGCCACTTCCGTATGAGTTCGATCCCCGCCAGCCCTGGAGGTGACCACATAGCACGGCAGACCTCTCCTGACCCGCCCGCTGTTCCCCTCAGCAGTGTACTTCGTCGATCTGCCTGTTCTGCTCCCCACTCTGTCTCTGGTGAATCCTATCACCCTCTGCATCTCTGGCCTGTACCCCAGTTCTATATGAATAAATAAATAAATCTTTAAAAATAAAAAGAATTGTGATCTGACCAACTTGAATCGATTTCACACTATCAATGAAATACATGCTTTTTATAATTAAGTGGGCAGCAGGTTCTCCTTTCGTTCTGGGAGCCATTTGTTAAGCTCTTACTCTAGATCCTCCTCCTATCACAGAACTTGGCAAATACCTATTCAGAATATTGGGCAAAGTCTGAAAATCTAACTTGCCATTTTAATCTTTTAATGCTTCTCAGGGAAGTATTACAATATTTTCAGACATTTGCAAGACACAGTAATACTTTCATGCAGCCTAACGGTGCATATCACAGGACTAGCTCCCCATACCCCGCCTTCGCAGGGTCGCGTCCCCTTGGCCCTTCTCCCTGCAGCCCGCCTGTTGGGGCAGTTGCTGCAGGCCCCTCTAAATCGGGGCCCAGTGCCCAATTCCACCTGGGTTGGAGGTGTGTGGTTTGCTCAGGTGCTTTCCTGTTAGTGCTGACACGGCCCGCTCTGTGGCACCGGCGCAGGGCTCCCTCCCGCCGCCAGTCGGCAAGCTGGGACTTCAGGCTGGGACTTCGTAGGCAGCAGCCCACTGGCTGGGAGAGACTGCGGTGTGCGTCTCAGTACTTGCACGGTTCCCTGACGGTTGTCCGTGACGCTGACAGTCGCCACCTGGGCTGTGGGCATTTTGTGCTGCGTGGAGGAAACTGCGCGATCCCTGGGTCCTGTGCACCGGCCTGGGCGATAGTAAGTGCTGGCCCATAGCAAGGGCGACACGCCCTGATGCTGTCTCTGCTGCGTCCCGCCCCTTGTGAAGTCCTGGTGCTGAGAGTTCCTCAGATGCCCATGCCCATGTGGAAGGAGGGGTGGAGGAGAAGGGCCCATAAGGACCGCTCATGCTGGGCTCTGCCTGCCTCCTTGTTCCAGCTCGCCCGTGGCTCGAGGCCACAGGCAGGCCGCAGAGAGCTGGGCCGGTTTCCTAAACTGAGCCAGAGGTTTGATTGGCGCCTACGCAGGGCCTCCAGGTGAGGGCATTCAGGCTTCACATTAGCAAGGGTTTCTGGAATACCACCCTGTGCCACTGGAGAGCGAGTCCTGGCCGAAGCAGAGTCTGGTCTGTAAGGGAAGGCAGATTCCAGTGGGGATATTGAGGGGCAGCTATAGTTGGGGAGCAGGACGGAGAAAAAGGCTCTTTCTGCTACTTCTGTATGTCAGCTGTGTGTTGAGACTCAGAACTCGTTGTGGATAGGCTCGCGGAAGGCGGCAGAGGAGGTCCGTGGTGGTGGCCACCGCGGGTGGGAAAAGACGGGAGAGAAGGCTTCCCAGGCCGAGGCGGAAGCAGAGTCCGGTCGCAAACGATGTGTGGGTAAACCAGCGTGCCTCGTGGGTGCGGCCAGTGCGTGCTCCGAACCTGCCTCTTTGGAAAGCTTATGCTTCAGGATCAGCGAAGAGTGTTAGTGGAACTGCTACAGTTGATTTTTTTTTTTTAAATGCTAAAGAGAAAGAACACCATTGAGTGTCCGTAGGTCATGTTGGAGGAGACAGTTGTGGGTGGGGATCCCTTGGCCGAGTGGGCCCTGGCGTCAGGGAGCAGGAGCTTCCCCCAGGAACCAGGGAGACCTCCGTGTGCGGTGCGCTGGCTTCTCACCCAGGCCTCCGCGCAGGTCTCCTGCTCCCTGAGCAGCCTGGCAGGTGGTGGGCGGCGGGACCAGGCCACCATAAGTGTCTCTCCCGTCCCTGCGTTGGGCTTCCCTCCTGGAGTTTGCTTCCAGTTCCAGTGTCTACACTGCACTCACCAAAGTCCTTTTGTTTCAGCTCCACGAAAGCGGGTACGATGCTGGCAAAGCACTGCAGCGCCTGGTGAAGAAGCCTGTGCCCAAACTGATCGAGAAGTGCTGGACTGAGGACGAAGTGGTGAGCACGCGGCTGGCCTTCGGGTCTCCCCCTGGGGCTGGCCTCTGGCCGCCCCAAAAGCCCAGCCCTGTGGGCAGAGCATGCGGCCCTTTTTATCAAGGGAAAACGCCTTTAAGCCTCTCACTTCCTGCGGGGGAGCGTGGGCTCTGTGGGGGTGGACAGTGTCTCCCTGGGTTTCCTGAAGGAGCGGAGAAGCTGAAAGTTACTCTTCAAAAAAGCTAATTTTGGTGGGTTGGCTTTGGTGTGCTCACTCTGCTGCCACCCTGCTGTAGGCTTGTGGAAACAGACTGACACATACCTCCCAGCAGCGCTGACCGCTGCGCTCGCTTTGTGGGCTGGTAAGACCCTCTGGCCCTCAGGGCATCAGTCAAAGCAGGGAGCAGAGGCTCGACTGAATGTAGGTAGTGTATAGCTGTGGCCCACGGAAGGGAGTGGGAGAGGGATGGGCCCAGGAGCGCAGACTTGCAGCCTCGGGTCCCTCCCAGGAGCCAAGAGACCTCCCGCGGCTGCACCCCCATCTTGGCCCTTGGAGAAGTACTGCTGATTGGAGGGTACTGTTACCGAGTTCCTGTGCTTCCACAGATGCAGTGGTAGCTGGGTGCTGCTGCTCGGCCTGTAGGCTTATGGCATTAAGGTGGAGGCTGGCTCTGACAAGACGTGCTGATTGGTGTCTTCAGTATGCCAGGAAAGACGAGGGATTCTGTGTGCTGTCTGGATCCTGCTGTTTTTGTTTGCTTGAAGCAGCACTGCAGATGCTTCTTTTGTGCCGGTGTTGTCTAGGACGCACAAGGCCCCTCTGCACAAGACGTAGGACTTGGAAGGTCTCCGCAGGTGGGGCTTGGGGTGGGGTCGGGGTGGGAAGGGCCTCACAAGGACCACTGAGTGGAGACACTAGAGAAGCAAGAAGGTGAGCTTCTTGGATACCAGGAAAGAACAGCCTGGCCCGCTCCACATCAGCGAGACTGTGTCTGCAGGTGGTGTAGGAGGGGTGGTGGGGAAGGCGGCGGTGGGCGCGGCGTCAGCCCTTGCTGTTGACGTGAGCGGGTCCCCGCCCGGTCTGGCGGCCCTGTCAGCATGGCTGCCCGGCTTGCCCAGGCCGCAGGCAGCGCTGGTGTCTTGTCCCCTGTGGGTAGATAGTAGAGCCAAAGAGAATTAGTTCAAGGAGTGGTTGTGTAGAGGACTTGGGTGGAAGGTATTCTAGTCATCCCTTAAGATTCCAGGTTTTTATAACGAAGTTTTGTTTTGAAATGAAATTTCAGAATCCCTGGGGGTTTAGTAAAGAGATGAAAACATCTTAAAGATGGTTTCCAATTTAAATTCCTACAAAATACTTCTGTGGAAAAAGACACAGGTTTGGAGGAAGCAGTAGTGTGCGCCTGGGGTCCTTTACCACACCGCAGGGCCTGCTCAACTCTGCCTGCTCCTTCCCGGCCCTGCTCCTGGGCTGCTGCCCTGCCCTGCCCGTGCCGCCCGCCCGTTTCCAAGTGCCAGGCTCTGAGCTGGCCACCACTCTTCCTTCTCCCCTCACCTTTCAGGTCCCTTGGAATTAAAAAATGCCAACTAAACAGCAAGCTTTCCGGCTCAAAGGAAAGCTGGTGCCTTTTTCCTGTGGGCGGCCAGCAAGTGGGGACTCTGAGATACAGTGGGTGGAGGAGGTCGTGAGCATCAGGAAAGTCCTCCTGGACTCTGGAATAGGAACCGTAGCTCAGAGGCGCTGGCTTTGGGGGTTGCATCCCCGGGGCTGGAGGGTACCCACATGGGTCCCGCAGGCCTGTCCCATTTTCATCCCTTACCTTTGCCTGTCTCGGTGCAAATTCTGAGAAGTGGGTGGTGGTTGCGCAGCCTCGAGAGCCCTGGGATCCCGTAGCCCCTTCTGTATGGGGGGAGTTAAGCTCTATTTCCTAAGGACCTCGAAAGTGAACCAGAGAGCAACTTAACGGTGGACAGGCTGCAGCAGGCAGCTCATGAGCATGTCCAGAGCCCGTCCTGGGGCTGCGTGCACGGTGAGGTGCGGGCACCAGCGAGATGCGCCGGGCTTGGCTCGTTGGGACTGTGGGAAAATGCCTGCTCAGTGCTTGGCCCCTTCTGTGGAATTCCACATTTTTCCTGCCCCAGGAATCACAGAGAGAAGCAAAACAAATGTGTTGTTACTAAAATAAGTTCACAGCCTAACTCCCCCACATTTTCCCAGCTCAGTTTTCCGCATGCTGCGGCAGGTTATTTTTAAACTTCACTGCCCCCTGCACCCAGCTGCTGGGCTGGCTGCAACAGTGTCCTGACTGCTGCTGGCCTGCAAGTTGCTGGCTGAGGCCTGTGTGGGAGAGGTGGATAGCGCCCCCCTTGGCAGTGCCTCCTGGCGCTCCTGGGGCTTCTGCTCTTCCTAGACTCTCGCCGGCGGTTCAAACTCCAACCAGTCCCGGGCTGAGACAGCTCCTCTCCCCAGGTGGGTCTCCTGCTGGCCTCTGGGCTGGCCTGAGTTAGTCCTTGGCCTCTGTCCACTGGCTTCTGAGTGCCCAGCTGACTGGCTTCCTTGCTGAGTGGATGGCCCTTAGTTGTAAACCTAAAGTGGGGACTTAAGACTGCTATGATGATGTTGCCCTGTGCGGGGCTCTGGGATGCTGGGAACTGTGGATTCAAGGTTAGTGCTCTGAAAGATTCTGTTCTGTAGTTACTTTTGCCTGTGAGCTGGCATTTTAGAACCATGTTAGCTAGTCACTGGGAATCAGCATCAGAGAGAAACGCTTTACCCCCAAGGCTGCCCGTAAACAATCTACTTTGGAAAAGCTCCCAAATTAGGACTATTTTTAATAAGTACCCAGCCTCTTCCTTGGTCTTGAAGAGAGCACATGCTGGGAGGCCTTTCACCACACCTCAGTCCTGGCGGTTTGCGTGCGTAGGTCCTGTGTTTCTCACTGCACTTGCTTTGAGCTGAGCTACTCCGAATCTTGCTAAACTGAAGCCAGATGTGTGCCAGGTTTTGTCACATTTGAGGCCAGATGGTGACACATGAACTCACCTTAGTGGCGTGACTGTGGGAGGCACCTTCATTGCCAGCTCACGGAGAGGCTTTCTAAAGGCATTCACGACGCTTGTTCCTACCCAAGACGCCCGTGGGGCCGGGCCTGCTGAGACGCTGCTGCAGAGACGCTGCTGCTACACTGCCGGTGAGGTGGTGGCTAACCAGTGCCACTTACCTTATCCTAGAATATTATTCCTTTCCAGGAAGCCGCCCAAACAGTCAAACTTGCAAAAGAGAAAGGGGGAAAACAGATTGGAACTTTCAGTAAAAAACCAAAACCCTGGATTATTATGTTTTCAATCAAACATGATGAACACATTTAAATATGACACAAAGACCCCAGGCTGAACTGCACCTCGTGGAAACTGACTGAGTGGCCCTTCCACGCCTGGGTAGTCATTAATTCTGCTACTCAGGCATGCAGCCCGAGGTAGCACTGCCTGGTGGTACTGGCCTGGGATTCACTGCTGCTGGGTGCTGTGCTCCTAGTTAGCATTCAGCTGTTGATTATGGGAGCTAGGGGCATGCTAATTGAATTCTTTTTAAAATTCAGGGCCTGCATCTCCCTTGGAGGTTGGGCCTGGCCTCAGGTTTGGGAGATCAGGGCTCTGCTGCTCTTAGCACTCACCCTTTGCTTCCCTTCCCTCTGCCTGCAACTGTCTTCTTGTTGAAGTAACCTGCAGCCAAACTCCAGGTGTTGTGTGAGGTTTTGGTGCTCACGGCAGGATGTCACACTTCACCTTGGGCAGCCTTAACTTCTACCTTGATGGTAATCACTGGGGCCAACGGCCTCGCTAGGAATACCTGGGGAATTTTTATCCAAAGATAGCTAATCCCTGTGGTGGTAAACTTTAATTGGCTGTGTGTGTGGATTACAGATTCATAAATTTTACAGCGTCTAAACCTTTCTTTAACTTAAAGCTCAGTTTATCATAAATATAAATTCCTGGAAGTCAGTCTGAATGTCTGTGACCCATGAACCCAGTGGCTCCTCAGGCCTTGCCTGTGCAGGAATACTTCTATCTGTCGGCCAGGTCTCTCCTCAGCAGCAGCTTCAGACGCCGCTGCTGAGCCTTCTTGGGGCTGTCTGCTCGAGAAATTGTTTTCATTGACCCTCTTTTCCAGCCCGGCCTCTGGACGTGCCAGGAAACAGAGCTGCGTAGTGGGGCGACGGCGCGGTGACATTTCCTCACGGTGTGTGTGGCATCTTCAGGATGTGGGGTTCATAGCCCAGCGAGCGCAGACCCTAGAGCAGCAGGGTGTGGTGGTGACCCACTGGTGATCAAGGGCCTCAGCCCTGGCTGTTGGCACGTGTGTGTGAAGACAGTGTAAACTAGGGGCTGAGTCTTGACTTTTCTGTCTTCAGTATGGAGGAGGCTTCGTGGTAGATTTATTTTAGGAATGGTGAAAATTCCAAGATTGCCGTGGCTTTCATAAGATCATTCAAAAAATGCTGAGAGGAGCATCCTCTATCATTAGTTAATATAATTCTGTTAATTGTTTGGATGGTTCTTTTGTAAATTGCATGTGGACATTCTCTCTTAAAACTTTCGCAGACGTTTTTAAAGGGCCTTGAAAGCGTCACCACTGGCCCAGTTTCCTGGTTTTGAGCTTTGTCTGGGTCCTTGCTGACACACACATCAGGCTTCTGCCATCACAAATGCAGGTGTATCTGTATGCCCGTTGTTTTGCATACATGCAAATGATGCCAACATGGAAATGCTTTTTAAAGAAATCTTAATCTGGGAATTTTTACAGCTCACTTGGGAACTCCCGAAATAGATGTGTTCTGTATGTGTTTGTCCTACATTGAGTGCAACACGAAGTAGGGGCCTTCGTAGATTTTAAATTGAGTTGAAATAGGTTTTTGTCTTAACTAGTTAACTGTTCCTCTGATTTTAACCTGAATTGGTGCCATTTCTTATGAACTACTTAACAAGAGGAAGAAATTAAGAGAAATGTAAATGTCAACATAGTTACA